CCGAGGCTGTTGCGTGGCCCTATTGAGTGACTATGAGACTATGTGTCCCTTGGCTCGTGTAGATAACGTCATATCCGGTATACAGTGTTGCCAGCGCCAACATTTGGTCGTCTTGCGTCGCGCCTTCGTCCTCGAATGGCGTTGTATTCTGGTACAAGTAACCTTCATAAAATTAACACCTTAACCTGTGGCTTATCCCTCACAACTGAGATGCATATCGCCACGTTCAGAACACCTTAACCTGTGGGTTATCCCTCATAACTGGGATGCATATTGCCTCGTTTAAAACACGTACCCTGTGGCTTATCCCTTACAACTGGGATGCATATCGCCACGTTCAAAACACCTTACCCTGTGGCTTATCCCTCACAACTGGGATGCATATCGCCACGTTCACAGTTTTCATCAATTTATCAACTTAGGGAGCTTTACCGGTTAGACCAGGTATTGCTACGTTGTCTAAGTACTAGTGATGGTGTTTACAATGGAAATCCATCGCCAGTTCATGCCTTAAATTTTCCAACTACTAAACTGCTCGGTAGCTTAACCGGGTGAACCAGTTGTGTATCGCTATTTAACATTTTCTCAAATATCTTAAGTAATTAATTAACTGGAAGGTACTCACCAAAACTTTCGTTACATTTAACTAAAAGATTTTATCACCATTACGTATAGTACGTATGAAACACACTGTTTTATTGTAAACGAGGGTAAGTACACAAGGAAAAAATATGTCGCAGATTATTTGAACAGCCAAACGCGAGTTTTCTATTGAATCCCACTTCTGATAAAACAGTTCTAACGTTTTTACCTTGATCCTAATATTTTAACTATTACTGAACTTCAATATTAACAACTGTTATAACGACAAGCAGCACTAGTGGTTATATCACCGTCCGGGAACGCAGTCGAAATCCAAGTGACCGCTGCTCCATGAGACCATGTGTCCCTTGGCTCGAGTAGATAACGTCATATCCGGTATACAGTGTTGCCAGCGCCAATAGTATGTTCATTATACTGATAAATAATATGTTCGCCCATCTGCAACCAGCTTTGGTCATTCGTTCGACCCGATGAGGTCCGATCCCCTACTGCACAACAGACAGTCTCCACGCTGCAATAATTGGGTAAAACTCACCAGACCTTGCACCTACCGACTATTACTTATTCCAAAATTTGGACAACTTTTTAGCGAGAAAAAAATCTCGAGAAAAGAGGCAGTACAAAATGCCTTTGTAGAGTTTGTTGCCTACCGGCCAGCTGATTTTTATAAGGGCATCAATAAACTATCACTGCGTTGGCAAAGATAAATCGATTGCATAGGTGATTACTTTGAAAAAAAAAAAATACTTTGTTATTGCAAATTTCATAGGTAAAGAGACCTGATATTACGTAACGCTTCAGCCGTTAGTACTGTGAAGAAGAGATATAAATGTTGCCCACGATCACTGAGTTATAGCTTGCCGCGGTGTCCCGGAAGAATTACATTCAGGTCCATTCCGAAGCTCGTAGAAATACAAAAATAGTAGTATCCCTTACCATGCCGTGCCCCCAGTAACCGTAGGTCCAAGGTAATGTAATGTTATGCCTATGACAAAGAGAAACAAAAATATCTTGTATCGAGCCTTAATTGTAAAAGGGAAATAAATAAAAGACTGAGAATGCAAACTTTAGTGTTTTATAAATTTTTAAATATTATATTGGGATTGTTCCCAATATTAGGTACATATGGTACAGCTTCAGCAACGGGTTGAACAAATGAAACTGCCATATCATTCACGTTTATTATTAGTCATGTCAAAACTTACATAACAATCGTTAAATAACTTATGAAATGGTACAAGAGCGCGGCCTGACGAGTCGAACGCAATGTCGTCAGTCGGCGTTCGCTCGCGCCTCTTTAGTTTACACATATAAAAATAGATTCCTTAAAATCAGTCGCTAGCCTAAGAGGAGAATGTTTCATAAATGCATAGATTAAAGTTATGATATGAAACTACAGTCGGAGCACCATTGTAATATTATACTAAGGAGGCGACGTACGCGCGTGTCGGTTTCGCGTTAGTTTGTCCACATATTGTTTTGATTCACAATATTAATGATTTCGATCTGACGCCAATGTAGATATTACATATCCATTTTCAAATGTTACCATTTACTAAGACTCCATAGAGTACAGTGGGGTACTCCTGGGGTGGTGTACATGGTTCTACAACAAAATCTCAGTAAATGGCGCAAAAAGCCTGCAGGTTTATTAGCAGGTTTAAGAAATTTATCAAAGCTTTATAAAAGTGGTATTATAATACAAATGAATACATTAATGATAATAACCCCAGTTTTCGCTTTCATACTATGAGTTTCTTTCGCGCGTTTCTTTTTCGTTTAAGGAACCTCATTACGGAACGGCGGTAGATTTAAAAAAAAATGCTATCAATAGATGAAAAGTAGGTCTCTTATTTCGATGAATAAATGATTTCATTTTGTTTTTAAATCGGACTGCAAACACGCGCGGCACGTCGCAATAGATTAAGGTAAATCAACGTTACAAAGGTACACAATTCGACCGCCACGTTGTGGCAATGGGCACTGCCATGGCAGCTTCTGGCGACATCTCTCGTAACAGCGATCGCTATGATCGCCAGATGAAATTTATTAGTAACTTTAATTACACCATTCATTAACTATTACTTTATACAATCACAATAGCGGCGTCGGAGGCCCGTTTTAAAAAATATAATACAGATTCACTCGAAAGGCTCGAAACATTTTCACCGCACACTGTCGTTCAGTCGCACGATCGCTTCATGCACTGTCGCACTGCGTCCGGGAGTGGAATGCTATTGCCATTGCTAGGCGCCGAGGCGCGGGGGCGCGGGGGCGCGGGGGCGGGGGGCGCGGGGGCGCGGGGGCGCGGGGGCGCGGGGGCGCTAGGGGCCGCGGGCGGCGGGCGGCGGGGCGGCCGCGCGCCTGCGTCACACGTCCGTGTGCCGCGGGGCGCCCTTCGCCCACTGCCCCCGCTCCGCCCCCCGCCCCTGCCCCGCCCCCGGCTCGCCCTCCGCCTCCGAGTCCTCGATCTCGCAGAGGTGCGCCGAGATGTCGCTGCACGAGTCCGCGCCGCCCAGCAGCGAGTGCCGCTCCTCTGCTGGACAAAGCGGGCGCGGCGTTAGCGGCGTGCGATTCGCTGCAGGGCTCTGACCCAGAAACGGGCGCCCGCTCACCCAGCATGGTGATGAGGCTGGCGGCGTCCGGCTCGCGCAGGCCGCGTCCGCGCAGCGCCCCCTCCCCCTCCCCCTCGCCTTCTTCGCCCTCGCCGTCCCCCTCCCCCCCGCCGTCGCCCGCCACCGGCAGGTACTCGTCGGGGTGCAGCAGGTACGACGACGCTGCGAGTGGACGAACGCTTACAACATAATCGTGATAGCTCTGTGTCCAGGCGCTCGCCTTTAAGTCAATGTACCCGAGCAATCTGAGTTCGATCCCGCCACAAAAGAACTTGTTTATTTTAAGTGTTGAATTATCACGTGCTCAACGGTGAAAGAAACAACGTGAGGAAAACTGCATATTTTCGAAATAATAATAAAAAAAATATATCGAAGATATGTGAAGTCCGCCAATCCGCAGTTGAGACGCATGGTAGACTATGCCCTGATACCCGCTGTACAGAGGAGGCCTTGTCCAGCAGTGGGACATGTACAGGCTGATGATACCTTACAATCTTCACGATTGCTGGGCTAGCATAATAATATATTATCATACAGAAAGGATTATCTCAAATTCCAAATGGAAATTCCAACGACTCCTTTTACTTATGTGTTAACTATTATTAGTTAATTAAATACCAACTTTGCCTATCTACTATCTATTAAACATTAAAAATTCATTCTTTCTCTTTCTATCTCGTGGTTATTAATTAATTAGTACCCGGAGAACCGAGCTTGTTTTTTTAGGTTGCTTGCTTTTTAGTTTTGCTAGGTTTGTTTTTTTTTTTGTAAATCGTGTATTTTGGAAATTACATTTAGATACAAATTACTGAGTTATGAAATATGCATAATGTTTTTCGATCTTACCGACGTAATAATAAGAAAATATGAACTGATGTTTTTCGCAAATGAAAGAACTTTTAAAAAAGGGGAAAAAAATAACAAAATAACAAATCGACAAAAAATTAAAAATAAAGAAAGCAATGATCTGGAATCGAAAAAAAAGTAAAAAAATTAATGTGTGACGTAAATAAATGATCGTGACGCGAACCACGGCCGTTTGTTTTGGAGCCGCCCGATTACCGACCGAGCTATTATGACATTTTCTCTTGCGGCGAAATTTACCGTCATATTCGAATTATATTTTTCATTCCCTGAAAACAGGGATAAAAGGGCATTTTCTAAAAATGAAACCTAGCTAGATCTATTTTTTGCCCCCGAATCTACGCACATAGTAAATTTCATGAAAATCGCTGAAAAAAATAAAAAAAACAAAGTGTTAGAAGATAATTATAACTTAATTAACAAATACAAAACAGTACACAAACAAAGCTGGAGCACCCCGAACTATGAAAATGCACAAAGGCAAATACAAGACAATAAATCAAAATTATTCAACAAAAGTATATTATCAAATTAAAATTCAATGAAAACCGTACATATCAATGAGATGGTTGAGGCTGGTGGGGTTTTATCAATTTGTTAATGTCAATTATTTCTTAGAGAACAAACAATTATTTATAACTAACAACCATGAACAAAAGACGAACTAACGGTATGTGAAAACAAAAATCAAAAAATTAGAAATAAACATATGCATGAGTGTCGTGCATATTTTTATTTGTCCATAATAACATATGGCTAAAAGGTAAATATATAAGATAAAGACGATATGTATCGAATTTGTTGGCTGCCTTGAACCACGAAGCGCGCAACTACCGTCTACACTACAGAGAGTCGTAACGGAAAATTCTAACACTGTTTTTCGCCCATCTGCCAAAGCCATACCGTGCGATAAGGAGCTTAGTTCTGAAAACTTTTTGGGCGCTTCATTTGGTGAGACAAGTTTTCGTATTACCTATTAGTTTCGTCGTGGATGTGAGAGCCATCAGAGAACAGTAGTGTCACTTCGAGATAATTTTTTCAATGATTGCTTGATCGATCGCATATTAACTCTTTATTACTCTTTAAACAATACTCTCTGGCCTCTGGTTTTGTTACTATTTCCTGCTTATATTTAGTTAATAAAAGTTGTCCAGTATACTTTTAATAAAAGTAGTATTTATTATTTAACATTAAACATTAAAATTTATAGAAAAATATAAAAAAGTTTATCGCCGCTGTGCAATTCGAATCAATGTAAATATAAGATGTTAGCACTTAAAAAAAAACAACGAAAAATTAAATAAAAATTAAATTTCTAAAAATCAATGGCGACATCTCTTGCTCCAATTATCTTTGTAAAACGATATATGAAATTGTTCGTATGCTGAAAAGGTTATAACAATGGATGGGCCAAGCATTGCTTCAAATGCTAAAAAACAATGTAGATAAAGCATTACGGCGCAAATCGCAAAGTCGTGGGTTCGAGTCCCACAGTATTATTTTCTGCGAATTTTAAAATATTAGTAGCCAACAGTTGGTTTAGCGCCTAAAATTAATAAGGATTATGCAAGTATTAAACATGGCTCATGCTGTTCTATTATTGGACGCGTTAGAAGGTGAGGAGACAAATAATAGAAGCCACAATACGGTGGTACACTTGAAACATAATTTTCGAACTCAAAACCTTACCCAAGCAGAGTTCAGACGTTGCTAGAGACTTTTTACTGAGCTTTTTCAGGATGTATGCGCTGAAATAAAGCCACATTTTACTCGATCGAGAATACCAACATAAATCAGCGTTACTGTTAAAGAAGAAAATATTGTTTAAAATAATTTACACTTTTAAGAACATATCCTTAGACATTACAGGGCCTCACAGCACTCTTATGCTACTGGTTCTTATAAGAAGCCTGTCGGCAAGATTTACCTGCATGGGCTCAGGCAAAAAAGGGTGTCAAATCTTATTAATAATGTTTTGACCTCTACAAACATTTTTAAATATACAGACATTCTCCTGCCAACTGTGAATCGCTTCTGTGACTCAGTAAAAATAAGAAAAAATTGCCCCCCGTTTCCTATATTTATCATGTTTAATAAAATGGTGGACTTTCTTAGTGAAAATAACAAGTTTTAAATTTTTTTTCTTGGAAACTATAAGCGACTGGAGAATTATGCTTGCGGATTAATTCGTTAATGATTTTTCTCTATCGTTTTCAATTTATTGAAGTGAAACTTCTTTATCGGGGTTGGAAAAAAATTTAGTGTAACATTTTTGCGTTACGCGCCATCTTTTTCTTATCTTAAAATGTTCCTCTAACGCCATCTAGTGTTGAATAGGGGGTTTTATGTCGTCTTTATTCTTTAGTGGTTTTAATAGTTGACGCTAGATGGCGTTAGTTACTTTGTGTGATCATATAATATATATATGTTATATTAAAGTGATCAGCAAAATCAAAGGGTTTATTTTAATTCTAATTCTAAAATGTAAACAATATATTTCGTATTTCAGTTACCAAAAGCCATTAATAACACAAATATATAATAACGACATCAAGGATAGTAATAATTCTATTACAATTAATGAAATTCAATAATAATATTTGTAGTAACTGGAACTTGCGGTTGCGACGTCGATCCAACGTCCGCAAGTTCGGTTTTCCAAAAAAACTTCACTCACAACACTCGCGCGCGAGTCGAATGTCTGCCTTCTACTCACTGGCTGACTATTCGGCAACGAAGGACCATCTACACATTCAAAGCGGTTGTATTTTGGGTCCGTGAGGTTAATTGAAATAAACAAGGTTCACGTTGCCAGTTTTAATAAAAGCCTTTTATTAAACTTTATCTAATTTAACTTTATTTAACCAATTTCTGTAAAGTTGCATATAGTAAATTATTTTTTGAAAAATAACGTCATAAAAAAGTTTCACTTCTTACGAGTGTACGCTAGTACACGCACACATTTTTTTTTAATTGAATCACGCCAACGTCAGTGTCCTTTACAATTGCCATTATTGAAATTATTATTAAATTTTAGAAATTGTTAATGTATGTTTTAGACATTGCAATATTTGATAACGACAACTACCTATATTTTGTATTGTTTTATACGTTTATGAAAATTATGGAGTTATTAAAATTGTACGCAATATTATTTTAGAGCAAACTGATTAATAAATATTAATTAACGATATTAAATATTTGTCTTATATGTGTATTTTGTGCCCAAACATGTCCATGAGATTTTCTATTTCTAATTTATACCACCTAAGCTACATTGTGGGATTGCAAACTAAGATTATTTAATTCATTAACGATTATTCAATTAACGTCATCTATTTTTTTATTAATTTATTTAATTGTTCATCCTAAAATGAAAATTTATCTTGTACACGAAAAGTATTTTTTTTTTTTTTATAATTTGTTTATTTCCCAAGTTTTTTATTTCCCAAATAAAGTTGGCTAACCATTTAAAAGTGAAAAAAAATAAAAAAAACTCCACTCGATGAAACTTGGGACTACAGTAGTTGGTATGACGCTACCAACAGGCTACGCGAGGTTGTAAAAGTGAAAAATTTCGATTCTACTTATAACTGCTGTATCGAAAAATAAGGATTTTATCGATAGTCTCCACTCGATGAGTGGTTTGAACTTGGGACTACAAAATAAAAAAACGTACAATGAAAAATTTTATGAGTAAAATCATATAAAGCCTTTATTATTTAGGACTTTAAGATCATCCTGTGTTTTCTAAAATTTTGATTGATTTCGAAATATTTGCCTTCCATGATACTATAAAAGATAGTCATCCATTTTCGAAAGCCCCATGACCGGCCCACCACTACACACACACTAAGCAATGAATGACTTGGCCTAGCGGCGCGTCGAGAAAACTCGCGCGCTGCGCGCCGCTAAGCGGCGTTACCCCTCCTCCGCTTCCTCATACTTCACCACCCAAATAGTTAAACATTCACTTCATACAGCGCCTTAAGAATAGCTTCATACAATTTTTATATTGTAGTAATAAGCTAGGGTGTTTCAATATATGCGTAGCCCCTAGTTTTAGATGTGACGGGAGTCTCCTAACACAAGTTCAAAAATCGGGATACATTCATAAATCATTCTACAATGTGTTCAAACATTAACATTGTCAAACTTTAAAATACATATGGAGAAATCCGAATTTGTAAAATTAGAAATATAGAAATCATAAGGCGATATAATTGGTAAGGACGGGATAAAAAGCCTTATTAGGATAAAATATAGTCCACAAAAAGTTTCTAAACGCCTAAAACGACCACTAAATAAAAATAAACCTTTCCTTTAGTTTTTAAGCCTGTTACAGAAAATTTATCTTAGATTTCTCGTTTTACGAAGCGAAACACTCAAAAAAATTGAAAATTAAGGTAAACTTTAGTACTTATAAGTTTTCGCGAAAATCTAAATTTGCCCATGTCTTTTTATCGTATTGACTGAGGACCTTGATTTTTATATACCTAATAGGGACTGTGTAACTCAGTATCTGGTATAAATTTCATTTAGTCCTGAGAAAATCGGACAGACAGACGGACAAGAGAGTGATCTTATAAGGGTTCCTATATTACCTTTTACGAAGACTTTTACTAAAAAGAAAGGCCTCCCGTCCGTCACTGGCTCCCCAAACGACTATTCAATTATTGGAATCTATCTAGAAAGTTAACTTTAGGCCTTTTCGCTAACGATGCACTCGAACAACTCTACGATAAACTACTCCTACTAAAGTCAAGATATCGTGGGGCCAAAAACAATATAAAACTACCGCGAAGCTTATTTATACCGTTCTTTTGTTATCTTGGTATGTTGGAATTCAACGTAGTAAATACAAATGATATGTAGTAAATTCACTGGACATATTGTGAAAATTTTAGAAATTCCTCCGTATGACGAGTACGAAGAAAATTCATATCAAGAGTCATATCGAGAAGCTGATTGCAGCCCTGAAAAAAATTGATGATGTTGAAGAAGATCGAGATCGAATCGGAGCAGCCCACCAACTGTTTTGAAAACGTTGTTCAAAAGAGTTGCTGATCTTCGGGGAATGGACGTCATGTAAATTCCCATCAACTCAGCAAATTTCATAACTGCACAAGAACTTGGTACGTACCGTCCGTGAAGCGCAGCGCGTCCAGGTCGTCGGGCGCGGAGTCGCTGTCGCCGAGGGGCGTGGGGGGCGTAAGGGGCGCGAGGGGCGCGAGGGGCGTCGGGGGCGCGAGGGGCGCGAGGGGCGCGGCGGGCGAGTGGTGCGGGGGGCGCGCGCGGCGCGGGGCGCGCGGCCGCTTCGGGAGGGGCGAGGGCTCGGCGGCCGAGGGCGGCGAGGAGGAGTCGGGCCGCTCGGAGCCCGCCACCTCGCTGATGCCGGGCAGCGCGCCGCCGCCGCCGCACCAGTCGGAGCAGTCCCAGTGGTAGCCGCCCAGCATGTGCGGCTCGGGCGGCGGCCGCGGCTGCCGCTTGCAGCCTTTCAGGTCTGCAACGGCGGACGCGTACCTCTCTCACATATGCGGCGGAATGTCGTGCGTCTCTCTACTTTAGCTTCACATATTTAACGTCCAATGCAATATTAAAAAGTTTATTTATTCTAAGTCATGAAATGTGCTGATATTTAGCCACTTATTTTATTTTATTTTTTTTATAATTTGTGATTTTTATAGTTTTGATTATTTTTTTAGTTACTAACTGCATTTATTGTTATTATTTTTTTCGCAGATTTTTCTTTTCTATGTTTAATAAATTATTTTTAAGTTTATATTTTCTATTTCACATAATTTGAATACTTGTACACCAGTTGAGAGCATTATTTATGTGTACATGATGTGTTCGCTTATAGTGGAATATTCACTTATGTAATATATATTTTTTTTTAAACTTTTATCTATAGAAAATGTTAAGTGTAATGTTCTGTTTGCGATCCGAAATAAATGAAAAAAATAAAAATAAAAAAAAAAAAACACCTCTTAGTCTGGCGGTATAAGGTGCGCTGCCGATGCAATTAGCGCAGGACCCTTCAAGAGACCCCCGGTTTATACTTATTGTTTGCCGCCCAGAGGGCAATAATTGTTTGCACTCGACTCTTTGTAACTCAAATGCTCTCAAAAGGAGGAATGAAAAAAATTTAAGCAGTATTTCTTATCCAAGTTTCGTATCGAGTGGAACAGCTAGATAATGCTTTTATAAACTAGATAATTTCCGAACAAAAATAGTAGGCTACAGGAGCTAACGCTTACAGTCTATAACGCATAAGAATATATGTGAACAACGTGCTATAAGAGTTATTTCTTGGCATCGTTAAACTCAAGATATTAAGAATTGGTGATGTTACCATTGTATATTTTGTTGTCGACGAAGGTTTGCAGGTGCATCTGCTCGGACCAGGGCTTGCGGTCGGAGACGTCGATGTTGAGGTTGCGCAAGTAGTCGGGCGGGATGCCCTCGAGCTCGTCGCCGGCCGAGCCGTAGCTGCGCAGCGTGTCGATGTTGTTGAGCGGCGGCGGCTCGGCGCAGGAGGCGGGCCGCTCGCGGCGCACCGCCTCCAGGTTGGACAGCTTGGAGGCGCGCGGCGGCGGCGCCTTCTCCAGCGCGCTGTTGAGCGGCGCGGAGAGGGCGGCGCGCGCGCGGCTGCGGGCGGCGCGCCGGCGGGCGGCCAGCGGCGCGCCGCACGCCAGCAGCAGCAGCAGCGCCACGGCCGCCGCCACGCCCAGAGGCCAGCGCGCCTCCAGCGCCCAGCGCCAGGCCAGGCGCACGGCGCGCTCCGGCCCCGCCGCCTCGCCCGCCACCACCGCGTGCGAGTACAGCGGGTTGCCGCAGTTCATGCCTGCAAAGGGGCGAAGGGGCCGTGAGGGCGGGTCCCGAGGGGGGCGCGAAGGGGGCGCGAGGGGGCGAGGGGGGGGGGGCGTCGGCGAAGGGCGCACCGGTCTTGTCGGGCGGGCAGACGCAGCGGAAGGAGCCGGGCTCGTTGCGGCAGGTGGCGCCGTTGAGGCAGGGCTCGCCGGCGCACTCGTCCACGTCGTACTCGCAGCGCGGCCCGTAGTAGCCGTGGCAGCGGCACGAGGGCCCGCGCTCGCCTTCCTCGCAGGCGCCGCCGTGCTGGCAGGCGCCGGCGCCGCACCAGCGGCCGCGCTCGCAGCGCGCGCCCGTCAGGCCGGCGGCGCAGGCGCAGCGGAAGGCGCCTCCGGGCGCGGGCGAGCAGAGCCCGCCGTGCAGGCAAGGCTGCGAGGCGCACGGGTCGGTGTCCCGCTCGCAGAGGCGGCCGGCGAAGCGCGCGTGGCAGGCGCAGGCGAAGCCGCCCTCGGGCAGGGGCCGGCACGAGCCGCCGTGCAGGCACGGGTAGGAGTCGCAGGGCGCGGGCGGCGGCAGCGCGGGACAGGAGGGCGCCACGCGCGCACGCACGCGCCGCGCCAGCTGCACGCGCCCGTCGGCCGACGAGCCGCCCTCCTCCAGCGGCAGCGCGCTGTTGCCGATCTTCAGGTCCGAGATGCAGCCGTGGAACCCGTACGTCACCTGCCGGCCGTGGCGTCGCTTTGTGAGAAGCGAACGATGAAAGCGTTCGCTTTGTCCAGTGTTCTTTGGGTAATGTCCGTTCTACCGTAGTACGAATATAACCCGAAAGTTTATTGTAGGAGATTTAACGTTTTTAAACGTTCCTACATTTACGTTTCCTTTGATATTTGAGGTTAATCAAAATAGGGTAGTTATTTGAAATTTAAAATTACATGATGAAACTTGACTATGATGGTACAGAAAAATTCTAAATACCACGAAATAAAACAAAAACAAACTTTATCACACAAGATGTTCAGCATCTAGTGTGATAAATAGCATATTGCAGTAAAATTTTGGATTACATGTAAAAATGTGAAGGACACTGACTTCTGTAACACATGGTACCCTAGCAGTAGTTAGAAATAGAATTCAAAATAGGGTTGAAATTATTGTTATTTATTTATTTATTCAGGAAAACAACAGCATATCATTTAATAGTTTTTCCAGATTACCACATTTTATTAAAAGCCAATTACACTTATGGGGACTGTAACTAACTATCGTGTATTGTGTTGTGAACGATCCGCTATCGGGCAGCGGCGGCACCCACCTGCTCGGGCGCCAGCGCGAAGGCGTGCCGCAGCAGCGCCGCGCCCACCAGCAGGCGGTCGCCGGCCGCGTCCAGCACGGCGCTGGCGGGCGGCGCCTGCGCGCTCGCGCCGCGCCCGTCCACGCTGAGGCGCACGGCGGCGCCGCGCCGCTCCAGGCGCGCCTCGTGCCACTCGCCGTCCGCCACGGCGCCGCCCGCGCTCACGGCCAGCTCGCCCGCGCCCAGCTCCATGCGGAAGCGCAGCCGCCCCTCGGCCACCTCCAGCACGGCGTAGTCCACGCGCCCCGCCGCGAACGCCAGCACGCCCCGCTCGCGGCGCGTGCGGAAACGCAGCGACAGCGTCAGCTCGTCGGCCAGCAGCCGCGCGCCGTCGCGCACGCCGCCGTCGACGCGGTAGGCCAGGTAGCCGTCGCCCGGCAGGAAGGCCACGGCCGCCGGCGCGCGGCACTGCTCGCCCTCGGCCTCGGGCGGCGCGCAGCAGCGGTAGCCGGGTGGCGCGGGCCACGGCTCGCAGCGCGCCGCGCCGCACTGCGCGCACGCGGCGGCGGGCCGCTCGCAGCGCGCGCCGTCGAAGCCGGCCGCGCAGGCGCACTCGGCGCGCAGCCGGTGCGGCGCCGCCACGAGCGCGAACACGTCGGTGGCCACGGCGCGCACGCCGCCTTCCAGCAGCTGCACGCGCTCGGCGCAGGCGCCGTGCACGCAGCCCGGGCACGCGGCGCGCACCAGCTCCTCCACCACGAGGCGCGCGCTCTCCTCCAGGCGCTCCAGGTGCGCGTGCAGGCCGCGGCGCAGCGCGTCGGCCGACAGGAAGCCCTCGCCGTCGGCCGAGCGCACGGCGAACGCCACGTCCAGGTCCTGCGCCACCTGGCGGGCGGTGCGCCGCGCGCGGCCCGCCTCGCCCTCCAGGTCGGCGTCGGACGGCTGCACGCCGACGATCACCACGTCCGCCTGGCGGCAGCGCACGGCCTCGTGCACGGCGCGGACGAACCCCTTGCGGTGGCTGAGCACGAAGTCGCGGTCCGTCACCTCGCGGAAGCGGACGACGATCGCCTGCGCGAGCATCTCGTCCGTCACCAGCACCACGGCCACGTGCACGACCGCGAAGCCGAGGAACTTGCCGTCGTCGACGGTCACGTTGAGGCGGTACTCGCCCACGTCGATGCGCGGCGCGGCCCGCAGCGTGCCCACGGCGGCGTCGATTTCGAAGAGGTCGGTCGACGGGTACGGCGCCCCGTCCACGGGAGCCAGTGCGTAACTCAGAGTGTCGTACGCGTCTCGGTCCGACGCGAAAACGCGGCCTATCACGCCGCCTGGGAATTCGTCCTGGTAAGAGTTGATCACTATTTCTAGCGGAGTGACCACCGGCGGGTGATGGGATTCTTCGATGACTTTGATGTAGACCCAGGCGTCTGAGAATAGGGGCGGGGTGCCGTTGTCGAAAACGCGCACTTGCAAAACGTATCGGTCCTTGATGCGATGGTTGAATCTGGTCGCCGACCGTAGGTACCCGTCCTGCTCCAGGCGAAACGCTCCCATCTCGTTGCCCGACTGGAAGTCGAAGGTGAAGGGGGCGGCGTTCGGAGGGGCGTCGGCGTCGTCCACGACGAACTTGAGGATGGTGTGACCGAGCGGCTTGTCCTCCTGCACGACGGCGGAGTAGTTGGAGTGGGCGAAGAGCGGCGCGTTGTCGTTGGCGTCGAGCACCTCGATGTTGAGGAAGGCGGAGGCCTCGAGCGGCGGCTGGCCCCGGTCCGTGGCGCGCAGCTCCAGCACGTAGGCGGGCGTGGCCTCGCGGTCGAGCGGCGCCGCCACCGACACGTAGCCCGTGTCGGCGTCCACGGCGAAGCGGCCGTCGCGGTCGCCGCGCGCGATGGCGTACGTCACGCGGCCGTTGGCGCCGGCGTCGGCGTCGTCGGCGATGAGCTGCAGCACGCGCGTGCCGGGCGCCGCGTCCTCGCGCACGCGCGCGCCGTACGAGCTTTGCGCGAACACGGGCGCGTTGTCGTTGCCGTCCAGCACGGTGACGTTGACGGTCGCGTGATCGCTGAGCGGCGGCGTGCCGCCGTCGATGGCCTGCACCGTCAGGAAGTACTCTCTGCGGCGCTCGTAGTCGAGCGGGCGCGCGATGGTGAGGGCGCCGCTGGCGCGGTCCACGGCGAAGTCCTCGCGGTCGTCGCCGGCCACCAGCGAGTAGAACACGTCCGCGTTGACGCCGGCGTCCCGCGAGGTGGCGCGCACGCGCAGCAGCTCGGTGCCGACGGCGTCCAGCTCGGGCGCCGAGGCGCGGTACTGCTTGAACTCGAACTCGGGCGGGTTGTCGTTCACGTCGGCCACGGTGAGGCGCACGGTGGCGGTGGCGGAGAGCGGCGGCGCGCCGGCGTCCGAGGCGCGCACCAGCAGCCGGTGCTCGGCCTGCGTCTCGCGGTCCAGCGCCGCCCGCAGCGTGACGATGCCGCTGTCCGCCGCCAGCTCGAAGGCCTCGTTGCCCTCCTCGACGAACGAGTACCGGACGAGTCTGTTCTCCCCCAGGTCCGCGTCCGTGGCGTGCACCTGCGGGACGAAGTCGACGTCGTGAATCTAAGTGTACGGAATGGACCCAGCGAAGTGATTCGCGCGACACCCACTTTGGCGACGAGAGATCCGATATCGGCGTCCTCGGGCAGAGTGACGCTGTACACTTCGGCGGAGAAGCGCGGCGCGTTGTCGTTGACGTCGTCGAGTGTCACCTCCAGTTCGGTGCTGCATTCCCACTCGGGCCTGTCGCGGTCCTGGGCGTGTGCCACCAACGTGTACTCGGCGACGGATTCACGGTCCAACTCCTCGGCCACCGTAATCACACCGGATTCCTTAAACAATTATGGAACAAAGTTTATTACAAGTTATGAATCTGGTAAGTTAGTAGGCAACTAAAAACTTTTAAGTACTTGATAACATTTTTTCAAAAAAAATTACCCTATAAGACGCCGAATTCGGGGTGTCGGTTTTTCGTGAGTGTACGCGCGTATCACAACTTATGACTTAACACTTATGATACACACAATTACACACACACACAAAGAAATACATTATCATAGTACTTTTTATTTAAGATCGTACTTAAAATAGCTTACTGTACTTAAATAATTATGTATTCAAAATTTCACTGTAGTTTAATTTTGGATACATAATTATTGATAATAGATGATTGAGTATTCCGCGTTCCGCAGCGCGGGCGAACCTTGTCGACGGCGAAGTGGTGCGCGTGTTCGCCGCTGAGGTAGAAGCGCAGGCGCGCGTTGTGCGGCTCGTCGGCGTCGCGCACTGCGATGGCGGCCACGTGCGCGCCGCGCGGAGCGTGTTCGGAGAGGCGCGCGCGCACGCGGTGCTGCGTGCAGCAGGGCGGGTTGTCGTTCACGTCCAGCACGGTGAGCAGCACGCGCGCGAAGGCCGTGAACTTGCCGTCGGTGGCGGCCACGGTCAGCTCGTATCGCGGCACCTCCTCGCGGTCCAGCGCGCGCGCCACGTACAGCTCGGCGGCGTCGGCGGCGGCGCGCAGCTGGAAGCGCGCCGCCGCGTCGCCGCCCGCCACGAAGAAGGCGAGCGGCGCGCCCGCCGCGTCGGCGTCGGCCACGGCCAGGCGCGCCGCCACCGTGCCCGCGGCCGCGTCCTCGCGCACGGCCGCCTCGTACTGCGCGCGCTCGAACACGGGCGGGCAGTCGTTGTAGTCCACGAGGCGCACCACCAGCGTGCCGCGCGCCGCGCGCCGCGGCGTCCCGCCGTCCGTGGCCAGCAGCGGCACGCGGTACTCTGCGCGCGCCTCGCGGTCCAGAGCGCGCAGCGTGCGCACCCAGCCGCTGTGCGCCTCCACCGCGAACGCCGGCCCCTCGCCCGCCTCCGCCTCGCCCGCCTCGCCCGCCTCCCCCTCCGCCGCCTCGCCCAGCGAGAAGCGCACCTCGCCGTTCGAGCCCGCGTCCGGGTCGTCCGCCATCACTGGCCGGCGAACAGATACACCTAAGTAAACTTCTCACCACATACCATATGCACCATCATTTGATCAGAGAAAATTGGGCGGCAGAAATCGTTTTATATCCATGCTTGGGGTTATATGTATGAAACGCAAAACGATTGCACAAATTTAAATAAATAGCAAGACATGCAAATTTCCAAGACAATTTTCAAAACGTTCGTAATTAAATTGATTTAGATGCTATATAAAAATGTTATGAAATACAAATGTGACGGTCGATGAGCCGGCCGTTGCAACGCACGTTGAATAATGTTCGAGTTGGGCGGCGTGTTCTCGGCGAGGTGCACCACGTAGGGCTGCGAGTGGAAGGAGGGCGCGTGCTCGTTGACGTCCAGCACGTGCACGCGCGTGATGGCCATCACGGCCGCCCCAGGGCTGCCCTCGTCCTCCGCTATCACGCCTGCGCACCCCTCCCAGTGAGCGAGCGTGTTCGTTGCTTTTCGTCACACCCCGAGAGACTCATTCGCATAAACACGTCTCTTTAAAGTTGGTGTCCTGAGAGCTCAACAACGGTCTGAACTTTCATAGCGGAGGATTTTTCTAATATTTCATTTAAATTAACAAAAAGTGTAACCTACAAATAACAGTGTTTTAATGCGTTCTCAACCATATACGATTAACCATTCACATATACTAAGAAAAAAAAAAGGTCTCTGAATAGAATGACAGAACGACAACGGCTCTTTGTTATATTTATGAATGACCTTTGTTCCATAATAACTTCAAAATTTAAAAACTTTTGCAAAATTTTAAAATGAATTACAATCTGCAGATATTTTATCTTTGCAAAAAGATCTTGACTCCCTTAAAATTTGGTGCACAAGGAATAAAATGGTACTTAATACTTCTGAATGTTTCCATTTCAAAATTTACCCGTAAACGAACCATACTAAATATACTATAATCGACGTTCAGTTAGTTGAAGTCTTAAGTATACGAGATTTGGGAATAATTGTAGATCAAAATTAGATTTCCACGAACACATAGATTAGACCGTTAAAAACGGAGCTAAGCTGGCACGCAAAGCCTGCCAGCTTAGCTCCCTTAATAGGACTGACAAAAACTTTCAGGGACTTTGAAATACCAATCATCCTTTTCAATTGTTATGTTCGAAGCTTACTGGAATATTGTTTACCTGTTTGGAGCCCCTCTTACAGTGTTCACATCTATAGGATTGAAAGAATTTAAAAGAAATTTTTGTACCATTTGTCTTTCAATAATAATATGTGCCATATTTTAAATTCTTACACCCATCGAGTACGATACTTTAAAATGAAAACTCTCTTCGAAAGGCGCAGAGCTACCTACGGATATTACTTTTCTTTATAAAATATTGCACGGCATAATAGATTCCCCTGAACTTCTTTCTAAATTAAATATTAGTTTATCACGAGCTGGTGGTCGTATACAGAGACGGAGGAAGGTGTTCGCGCTGCCCCTGCGTCGTTGTCGCTATGGTCAGCATTCACCGATTTATCGTATTTGTTCAAGTTATAATGCCATATGTTCAGAGCTTGACATATTTAACGTCCAAAGCAATATTAAAAAGTTTATTTGTTATAAGTCATGAAATTGTGTTGATATTTATCCACTTATTTTATTTTATTTTTTTATAATTTATAATTTTTATAGTTTTCATAATTTTTTTTTAGTCACTAACTGCATTCATTGTTATTATTTTTTTGAGAGAGCTCAACCTTCATCTCCAAAAGGTTCTGAAAAAACACCAGCAACAAACGCAAATATTTCTAAAATCGTAGTGGACACGAAATGCGTATCTCGGCTGTTGAAATTTCTCGATCCATCTAAGTCTGCTGGACCAGATTGTCTGCCAGCAATTTTTCTTATTAATTGTGCAGATTCGATAGCACTACCAATTACCCTACTATTTCGTAAATCATTGGCGGAACGCACTGTACCCGATGTTTGGAAACGTGCCTATATCGCACCATTGCATAAAAAAGGATTCAGGTCTGATATCACCAATTATAGACCAATCTCTAAGTTATGTATATTTATTATTATTAGCTAAAATATTTGAAAGTTTAACTTATGATCAGGTGTATCCGTCACTGAAGTAGTGCTTAAGCCACACTCAACATGGCTTTCTTAAAGGTAGGTGTACAACATCCTATGCCATGCTGTTAAATTTATATTTGGCCAAAGCCATGGAAAATGGCCAGCAAGTTGATGTAGTATATACCGATTATAGTAAGGCTTTCGGACCGCATTGACCACAATCTGCTCTCAAACAAGTTAGTGTATGTCGGTTTCTGTGGTGTCTTACTGCGATGGTTTTCCTCTTATGTACATAATCGTTCTCAAGCTGTAGTTGTCAACAATTAAATTTCTAGCTGGGTTTCAATACCTAGTGGCGTTGGCCAAGGCTCATTGCTTGGGCCATTGCTGTTCGTTATCTTTGTCAATGATATTGAATCTTGCCTTAAGTCATCTCGTTTATTATGTTTCGCTGATGAGATCAAATTATTGCTACTATCGCATCTCAAGATGATGCTAAATTACTGCAGGATGATCTTTCACGATTACTGGAGTATTGTGCTGTTAACAGGCTAGATCTTAATCCGTCTAAATGCACTTTGATTACTTATTCGCGAAAGCGTAACTTGATTCCCTTTGTATATAAGCTGAAAGGCCAGAAGTTGCAAAAAGAGTCTGTTGTTCGGGATTAAGGTGTTATGCACGATTCTGAGTTGCTATTTAATGCCCATGTCGACAATATCATAACAAGGGCATCCAAGGCTTTAGGTTTTGTTATGCGTACTGCAAAGAACTTCAAAAATATAAAAACTATTAAAATCTTATAGTATCCTACGGCCCACCACTAATATAATATGATGGGTACAGCGTAATCCACTCCGCTATGATTGAAAGCGCGGGTTGGTGTTAGTCTAGCCGCTGGCAATTGTCCCATTAAAGGATATATTGAAAGTGCTGTATTTTTAGCACAGGTTACACAGGCTCGGTAGTGCGATTTCACCAATTGCTTCGCTCCGAGAATCCAGAATCTTGATTTAATATAATTCAACATGAGTTGTGGTCCACCATGAAGTGTTTGCTTACGAGCGTCAGCAATTATAAGTTGAGTTAAATGAGACTGTTTTGGTATTAAGATAGGGTGTCTCCTGTTGTAACTTAACTCTGCTTTATCTAACCTGCCACCGACTCGCAATATTTGCGTCTAAATTCGTCAAAATTTCGTCGTCGAGGAATGGATTCAGAGGATGAAGTTTTTTATTTTTTGGTAAGTCTCTTCTCTGTGATATATAATTAAGCTCTTTTGTGAAATGAATTGTTTGATATTTGATTATACAACATTTAGATATAAGATATAAGATTTGTATTAATTTTTAATTTTCTTTTTACAATTATTTATATATCTTTTACAGTACGCTATAATTCTAATTAATTTTCTTAATGATGAATATTTATGCCATGGATTATTATCTACCGTCACTATTGTACAATGTGATTTTACTGCTTCAAATGTTGTTGAAGCATCATTAGGTTTATTATATTTAATAGTTGCGGAAGATATGAATTCCGGTCCTTGAAACCATAATGAGTTTTTTACTAAATCAGCGCAGCTTAGTCCACGCGACGCACAATCTGCGGGGTTCTCTTTTGATGGGACATGTGACCAGCTTTGTGGATCCAGGTGTGTATGAATTTCTGAAACCCGATTCGGATGATTGTTTAACCAAGCCAGAACGACGGTCGAATCAGTCCAGGCATGAAGGTTATGCCTTTTTATTTTGTTTATTTCAGCACCTTCAAGCATCAATCTACTTAGCAGAACAGCTCCACATAATTCCAACCTAGGTATTGAAACCTGTTTCACAGGAGCTACCTTTGTCTTCGCTGAAATTAAAGACACTGATACCTGTCCATTGGAGTTAAGAACACGAACGTACACAACTGCTGCGTATGCTGACTTCGACGCGTCGCAGAAACCGTGTAGTTCTATTTCTTGATCGTCTTCGTATATTCCTATCCATCGTGGTATGCGAATTTCACTTAAATATTTTTGCTCGTTACGGTAAGTAATCCATTCGTTTAATATGTTTTCTGGTACCACTTCATCCCAATCGAGCCCTGCTAACCAAAGTTTTTGTATTATAATTTTTGCTAATATTATACTAGGTCCGGCCCATCCTAATGGGTCGTAGAAACGTGAAATGTCAGAAATAATTTTTCTTTTTGATACAGGTTGCTGCAACAAAGGAAGATTAATAACATAGCGGAAGGTGTCGTCACTTCGGTTCCAGGTAAGTCCCATTACTTTTATTAGTTCATCTTACTTAATTTTAATTCCTTCTCCTACACTCATTTCCTTTCATCATTTTTACCAGATCATCGTTATTGCTATTCTATTTTTGAAGTTCAAACCCTGCTTTCGCTAATAATTTATTCATTTCAGTGAACACTTTAAAACCCTCTTCAATATTTTTACAATCATCAACGTAAAAGTCATTCAGTGTTATTTCAGCTGCCAGTGGATATTCATTACCGTGGTCGAGCGCTACTTGTTGAAGTGCTTTGACTGCTAAATATGGAGCTGAAGCCGTACCGAAGGTAACCCTGGTAAGTCGACAATGTTTTATTTTCGAGTCTGCGTTATTTCTCCACAGGATTCTTTGGAAATCATTATCTTGTCTTTTAGTCATCTCCTGCCGATACATCTTTATGATGTCAGCTGACAAGCAAATAGGTGCTGATCTCCAACGCATCACAATATATCTGAGTTCCGGTTGCAATGTAGGACCTACTGCTAATTGATCGTTTAAAGATATGTTGTTTTTTCCCTTGCAGGACGCATCAAATACTATACGAACCTTTGTAGTTTCCTTATCATTCCGCACTACAGCGTGATGAGGCAAGTACACTCCTTTTGGATTGTTGATTTCTGCTTCAGGTATAATCTCCATATGTTTTAAATTTATGTACTCATCTATTACCTCTTGATATCTGACCTTTAATATTTGATCCCTTTTTAATTTTTGTTCTAACGATTTGAAGCGTTTTTCAGCAATTTCTTGAGAAGATATGACTTGGGGGTTGCTGGTTTTGAATGGTAAGCATACGATATATCGGCCATTATCATCTCTCTGTGTTGTTAGACTAAAATGTTCTTCGCAGTACTTTTCTTCATCTGTAAGCAACCTTTGCTTAGGTAGCTTAACATCTGATTCGAGCTCCCAAAACTTCTTGAGATAGTTGGTGCAACAACAATGCATTGCAGTTATGTTCATGTTGTGCCTGGCATGAGAATTTACTGAACCTGATAAGATCCAGCCCAAACTTGTAGCTTGAGCTATTACGGTGCCAAGCGGTCCTCTTTTTATTCCGTTTTGAAGTATTTGACTGCATACTTCCGCTCCTAACAGAACGTCAATTTTGTTAGGTGTGTGATATTCGGGATCGGCTAGAGTCAATCCCGATAATTCCACCCATTCCAAAGCTTCCACGTTAGTGTTAGGCAATGGAGACGTTATACACTGTATGACGTGTGCACTTACTAAAATTTTTACACAAGATCATTCATTGATTTGATGGCAATATCTACTGTTGATTTCGACAATACATTCTTTCCTCCACTTAATCCGGTTATTCGGGTAGTGGCAGACCTTTACGGAGGCCTAAATATTGCACAGTAGATTCGGTTATGAACGAGGATTGTGAACCTTGATCAATCAACGCTCTTATTTTATAATCTTGTCCATTTTCCGATGTAGCCTTTACGACCGCTGTTGCCAATAAGACCTGTTGGTATAATTTGCCTGTCGAGAAACAAGACACCACTGGTGTTGAATTATTTGACCCTTTGATGATGTAGCAATACACTCATCCGACTTATTATTTCCTTCGCTCTCGGTGATATTATCGTTAGGATGCAGAAGTGCGTGATGTTTTCGCTTACATATTCAACATTTACACAAATAAAGCAAGCTGTGAACAATTGCGTATGGCATTTTGTTCCCCCTCACTCACCCAACTTCGGTGGATTGTAGAAAGCTGGGGTGAAATCGGATAAAGTACCATTTAAAAAGAATAATTGGTAATTCAACTTTAACGTACGAAGAGATGGCCACAGTTCTTAGTCAAGTGGAGGCGTGTCTGAACTCTCGTCCACTATCCGTTATTAGTGATGCGGACCCAGTCAACATGAACCCAACCCAATCCTGACTCCGGGACATTTCATAATTGGTGAGCCGTTAGTGACGGCACCGGATCACAACTTTGAGTCTATGAATGTGGGTTCCCTAAGAAGGTGGCAATACACTCAACGTATACTTTAAACGTTCTGGCGGCAATGGTCACACGACTAGGCGATATGGTTGTGGTAGAAGTGGGCGATACAAATCGTATCAGATATGAAAACTAGATATTAGTACAATATCCGAATATCGCTTACCGGCTTGTTCAATCCTGACTCCGGGACTATGTATTTTACAATATGTGATATTTCCGAAATCTGATGTACCGGCGGCAATGCTCGCTCGCTATCTCCTCACCGACACGGTTGTGGTATCGCGATATCATACGCGTTTGCCACAATATCTAATTTTTAAACAGATTTCGAGAGACAAACGCGTGAGATCACAATCTACTCACTAGTTAGAGCCGGACGGCAAGCAATGCACGATATCGATATCGAGCGACAAAGCGCGTGAGACAAAGCGTTAGAGCGGTGCAGATATGAGATATAATACTCACTAGTTAGAGCGGGACGGCAAGCAATGCATCAGATTTTTAAACAGATTTCGAGCGACAAAGCGCGTGAGATACAAATACTTCTGCCTAAATTAAGGAAGAAAAATATAAATGGAAATTTTTTAGGAGGTAATTTTTTTGTGAATATTTTTATTAGTTAAATTTTATTCATATTTTTGGAAAAAAATAAACGTACACAAAAAGAAAAATATAATTTGATAGTGCTGTGCTGCTTGGGTGGAAATCAGACCAAGGCTTATGTGCTTTGTGTGTATATTTTAAATTCTTCCGCCCTTAGTTATAATACTGAATGTATTATTTCTTACACAAATTATAAAGATATTGTCACTCATGATTGCGTGTTTTAAAAATATGTTAAAGTCAATTATTAAGCGATATATAAGATGTTAAAATAAATCATTTTTATATTACTTCAATTTCTATTTTTAATGAAATTTTTAATTTTATCAGGTAATGTTTTAATTTTACCTTAATAGTATAAAAAAAATCGTGATTTTAAATTCAGTAAGTTTTTTGAATTTAGTCAATTTTAGTGGGTTTTCGAATTTATTTAGAAGTATTCTTTTTGAACCGTTGGTATCACTGGTAATAGCTTTAGTTATGTATAGGTATAATGATCGTCGAACAAGACTTTCAACGATTAAAGTCAAACAGCTTACGTTCGTAAACGTGAATTTAAACCCGGAGGAATCTAAATAATTATTAACCCACACATAATTGTAAATAAGTTAAGTTTTAAATATCAGGAAAATTATGTACATAGAATGAATCAACTTTTAAATACTCTTTTTTTAATTTTTTTAGAATTCACGGTGGATACGGGACCGTAAAATATCTAGATAATAAAATACATAGTTTCGAAATCTGATTCAGATACGGTACTCAGAAAAAGCGATACGACCCATCTCTAGGTTGTGGTCAAAGAAGACAATTTACCTCCAACTCGGTGGCTCTATGGTAGGGTGATAGCTACCTATCCAGGTTCCGATAACATTGTGCGAGTAGTCACTTTAAAAACTAAAAATAGAACATTAAAAAGGCCAACCTCAAAACTGTGCTTATTGCCGGTGGCTGATTAATTGCAGTTAAGTTTATTGTTCATATTCTTTTAAATTGTTAGCATAAGTAAGAAAATATAGTTGTAGTATATGTGTTTAGGTATAAGAAAAAAGATTTATTTGTGTCAAAGTATAAGTATTACACATTACTCTGTAATTAAGGTCCAAAGGTCCACTTTGCCCTTGGTGGGCGGTATGTATAATATACAGTTTGTCTTATGTAATATGGTTTTACCTTTGTAATTAGTATGAGCATCATCCGAAAAAACACGCGCCACTCGGCGCGCGCCTCGCGGTCCAGCGCCACGCGCGCCGTGAAGGCGCCGCTGCGCGCGTCCACGGCGAACGTGTCGCGCAGCCGCGCCGACGGGATCGAGTACGTCACGGCGCCGAACTCGCCCGAGTCCTCGTCGTGCGCCTTCACCTGTCCACCGACACGCGTTACCCATATTCGCGACAAGCATTGAAATAAATAAAATCAAAATATATAGCAAATGAAAATACCAAAACAAACATGAAACGAGCAGACTCGCTTTCATTAATATCAATCGATTAAATCCTACTCGTGATAACTGCAATAATCTAAGTATGCAGAAAATATAAGCCAAAATGTAAACAAAAGAAATTCTCCATTGAATTCGACAAAGCGAGTTCCCCTATAATTCATAAGCGAATATTAGTAACAAACATAAAAAAATACAGTCGAATTGAGAACCTCCATCTCATTTGAAATCGAATAAAAAGTAAAGTAAAGTAACAGCCTATACATGTCCCACTGCTGGGCAAAAGCCTCTTCTATACAAAGGGTATAAGGGCATAGTCCACCACGCAGCCCCTGCGGATTGGCGGACTTCAAATGTCTTCAAAAAATATTTTCTAAATTAATAAATTAATAAATTTTGAAATTAATAAATACGGAAAGGCAACAATAAAAGTAAATTTATCATTAATAATAGTTAATATATGGGTTTTTTAATGCAAAACTTATTTGCTTTTATGGACTGCAATAGACCCACAAGTCATTCTAACCCTCTGGTATTAAACGCAACTGATTATTATCAACCGGATCCTAACAGGCTTGGGAATACAATCAGTTGACTTTAACAAAGTTACATATTTAAGATAACCTCAGATTAAGCATAGATGTAACAGTAGGATTAAATGAAACGCACGGGCGTATGGATGGTCGTAATTTTTATGAATCGTCGTTTTGTCCGAAAATGTTTGGGGTGGGGGTGGAGGTCGGAGGCACTCACGGTGGTGAGCAGCAGCGGCGGCGGCTGGTTCTCAGGCGCGCGCGCCTCGTGCACGAGGTGGGGGAAGTGCGGCGCGCGGCGGTTGGCCGGCGCCAGCGCCAGCTTGAGGCGCGCGAAGGCGGCGCGCGCGCCGTCCGACACCGACACGTTGAGCGAGCGGCGCGGCGCGGCGGCCAGCGCGCGCGGCTCGGCCAGCACGAGCAGCCCCGAGGCGGCGTCGAGCGCGAAGGCGCGCCGCTGCTCGGCGCCGCCCTCGAGCGCGAAGCGCAGCCGCGCCGCGTCGGCCGCGTCGGGGTCCCAGGCCGCCACGCGCGCCAGCACCGTGCCGCGCGCCGCCTCCTCCGACACGAGCGCCGTCAGCACGGCGCGCTCGAGCCGCGGCGCGTTGTCGTTCACGTCGCGCACGGCCAGCAGCAGGTGCGCGCTGGAGCGCCGCGGCGGCCGGCCGCCGTCGCTGGCCGTCACCAGCAGGTGGTGGAGGGCGCGCGCCTCGCGGTCGAGCGGCGCCGCCACGCGCACCTCGCCCGCCTCGCTCACGCTGAACGGCGGCGGCTCGGCCTCGCCCGCGCCCCACCCCGCCGGGCCCCAGCGCGACAGCGAGTACGTCACGTTCCCGTTCGCGCCTGCGCGATAGCATATAGAAATAAATAGCAATAAAAAACATAAAAAATAATAAGACCAAGAATACAATGACAAAAAAAAAAAAACAACAGTAAAGCTAACAACTTTTTTTTTAATCTAAGAAAGTAATCCTTAGTAAGGAGTGCTTTGGCAACTGCTGGCGAGGTATGAAATGGGTCAGTATCCATTTGTTTATTCATAAATTTTGCTGTCCTTATCATAAAGTAATTACTTCTATAATTTGTATTACATTTTGGAGTGTGGAAAGTTTTACGTTTTCTTATGTTTGGTAATGGAACATTCAACAGGATTTCAGATAACTGCTCAGGTGAGTTAATAGATCCGTTAACAAATTTTAATTCAATATACTCGGGCAAAGTGATTTCAACCCCCGGTGTCAGCACAAATAAAATTATTAATTTTAAGTGCTGACTTATTACGTGCTTACCAGTGAAAGAAATGTATGACTATGCCCTGATACCCTCTTTACAGGTGAGACCCTTGTCCCGGCAGTGGGACATTTATAAACTACTAGCTTTTCGCTTTAAGCCGCTAGGCTTCGCTCGCGTTGAAGCCCTTTAAAATCTATAACTGTATACATATGTGAACAACTGATACCGAAGGGTTCCCGTTTGCACTTTCTCGCTAGACATCTCGCTAAGTGACAACAATACAAGTACTGGTGGACCGCGGCGGGCCTGTCAACTTTGTGATAATTACATCGGTGTGTATTTACACGTATATACTTTTTAAAGAAAGATATTTTCAACACTTTACAAGACTTTTTTGCGAACGCGGAGAGGCTCACCGGAGTCCCTGTCGGTGGCGCGCACGGTGAGCACCAGCTCGCCCGGCGGCGCCGCCTCGGACACGTCGGCGCGGAACTCGTCGCGCTCGAACTCGGGCGCGCAGTCGTTGACGTCGAGCACGTGCACGGTGACGAACACGTCGGCGAAGGCGCCGCTCACGCCGTCCGTGGCGCGCACCACCAGCCGGTGCTCGCGCGCCGCCTCGTAGTCCAGCGCGCCGCGCGGCACCACCGCGCCTGCACGGACACAGCGCTACTGCATTCCACGCGAGGCGCATCGCGCGATGAGCGAATCGGCCGATGACGAGTTAGCCACGAGAAACACACTCCCGACATCCATGCAAAAGCTGCAGAGTGACAATGGAAAGCGTGCGAAATGCGACCGCGCGGGTGGGACGGGAGGCGACTCGGTGTACTCACATGGGCCGTTCCCTCCGTCGGGCGCTGCGGGACAAAAGGGAGGCGTTAGTAGGGGCGGACGTTCGGGCGGGGAGCGAGCGGGCGCGGGGCGTACCCGAGTCGAAGTGCACCTCGAAGAGGCCGGCGCCCTCCTGCAGCGTGTAGATGAGCGGGCGGCCGAGCGGCGAGAGCGCGCCCAGCGGCGGCTCGAGCGCGCGCCCCGCCGGCGCGTCCTCGCGCGCCTCGAGCGCGAAGTGCGCACGAGGCCAGAGCGGCGCCGCGCCGCCGCCCCACGCGCGCACCGACACCGCCGCCTCGGCGCCGCACGCCGGCGTGCCTGCGCCGCACCAAAGTGGATAAAACGGAGCGATTTTCTAACAAAGGCAAAACGCAATCGTTGCTTCTGGCCGGCGCTGACGATAGGGTTGCCAACCATACTATATAATAAAATATTTTACTTTATTTTTGGTCAATACACTTTATACTTTTGCATAAAAATAAATCAAATACTTTATTTCCAATATTTAGTGTGATGCATAAAATGAAACCCTTTTTTCTTATGTGATAATTTGTTGTTGATATATTTTTAAACCTTTGTGGGATCAGTGTCTTTGTGTGCTACTACATGTTTTCACAAATTTTCATTGTATTAAAAAATGAAATCCTTTTTGATTTAAATTGGGAATGCAAAGATAGCTTCCAGAAATTTAAATGTAGTGAAAAACTGTGACCGTACGCTAGAAGCATACAAAGGTATATCTTCAAAGGAAGAAATAAATGAATCTCGACTCGTTTTACTAGGGTCATCTATTATAAAAAAGTTACTTTAACACCGTTTCTTAGTGTGGTTCCTCTGACGGAGAACAAACATCGTCGGTAGGAATCCTCTATTTTTTTTATGAATGAAAAACAGAAAAACTCTTAAAGTAGACAATTATTAGGTAAAATAGGTACGTAGGTCTTTCTGTTAAATAATCTGGTTTTCTCTGACATGACAGCTTACTATGGTTGACAAATTATTTGATTAATTATATTTTTACTGGGTATTTTGTAACATGTTGTATAACGAGCTATTTACTTTTTGTACACGAAATAATGGCGTAGCTAGTTTGTCCTTATTTCTAGAGTTTAGTTTATGTCTGCCATACAAACAAAATATTACAATAAATATGTTGACACGCAACAGTGGGTATATCTCTCTAAAATCTCTTTAAAAAGATCTCCGAGTGTATTCCGGGCTCCGATGGATTGCTCGTTTTGTCCATTTATGTACGTCCCCGACGCCGGCCACTCACCTCCGTCGAATGCGGCCACGACGAGAGTGTAGAGCTGATTGTGCGCCTCCAGGGTCTGCTTCAGAGTGATCTGTCCGGTCTTCCGGTCCACGCGGAACAGCTCCCCGTTGCCGCGCTTCATCTCGTAGCGCACCTGCGGAGCGACCGGGCGAGGTTCCCGTTAGCGGCCGAAGAACGAGCGGGGAGGGGGAGAGGGGGGGGGAGAGGGGGAGAGGGGGACCGGGGGAGCACCTCGCCGTTGTCGTTGGCGTCGGCGTCGCTGGCGTGCACGCGCAGCACGTGCGCGCCGGGCGGCGAGCCGGCGGGCAGCGCGGCGGCGTAGGGCTGCCCCGCGAACTCGGGGCAGTTGTCATTCACGTCGCTCACGGCCACGTGCAGGCGAGCGTGCGCCACGCGCGGCCCCGCGGCGGCGCGCACCAGCAGCGTGTACGAGGCGCGCCGCTCGCGGTCCAGCGCCACGCCGCCGCTGCGCACGGCGCCCGACGTGGCGCCGATCTGCGCAAACCACCGCTCATTGCCACACCATCACCATCACCGGCAAGGCGGCGCGGCGGCGAAGGCACTCACCCGGAAGCCCGCGGTGGGGTTGAGGATGGAGAACTCGACGTGCTCGTTGAGCGCGGCGCCGAGCACGTTGAGCACGGCCACGGTGGCGGGCTTGGTGGTGTTCTCGAGCACCGAGCCGTAGTAGTCGGTCTTGTGGAAGGCGAGGCCGGCGTTGTCGGGGCGGCGGGCGCGCACCAGCACGCGCGCCGTGGCCGAGTAGCGGCCGTCGGAGACGCGCACGCGCAGCCGCTGCTCGGGGCGCAGCGCCTCGCCGGCGCCGCGCTCGCTCACGAGCAGCTCGCCGCCCGCCGACAGCTCGAAGGCGCCGTCCGACTCGTCCTCCAGCACGTCGAAGGCGAGCGCGTCCCCGTCGGCGTCGGCGGCCTCCAGCCGCAGCACGCGCACCCCGGCCGCCGTGGGCAGCAGCACCGTCGCCTCGTACGAGGCGTGCGAGAACTGCGGCGGGCAGTCGTTCACGTTCGTCACCTCCACCCGCACCGTGGCCACGCTGTCGGACGGCAGCCGGGGCTCGCCCATGTCGACCACCTGGAAGGTCGTCGCGGCGCCGTCAAGGTCGGAAGTCCGCGTCGTCCGTGAGAGCAAAGCGCAGGGGGGGGCGGCGAGGCGAGGCGACCTTGACCGTGAACTCGTGGAAGGTGGCCCGCTCGTAGTCGAGCGGCGCGGCGAGCGAGAGCGCGCCCGTGGTGGCGTCGACGCGGAAGAGCGCGGCGGCGCTGGGCTCCAGCAGCTCGAAGGCGCGCTGCCGGTTGGCGGGCGAGTCGGCGTCGTCGGCGAGCAGCACGAGCGGCTCGTCGTCCGCGCGCCGCAGCACGAGCGCGCCCGGCGCCGCCGCCTCCGACGCGCGCCCCAAGAAGGAGCGCGCGCGCAGCTGCGGCGCGAACTCGTTGCGGTCCAGCACGTGCACCCACACGTGGGCCTCGCTGCTGCCGCCGCCCTATTTTGTAACATTTTTGCGTTACGCGCCATCTTGTTGTTGTGGTTTTAATAGTTGACGCTAGATGGCGTTAGTTACGTTGTGTGTTCATACTATATATATATATATATATATATGTTATATTAAAGTGATCAGCAAAATCAAAGGGTTTATTTTAATTCTAATTCTAAAATGTAAACAATATATTTCGTATTTCAGTTACCATGAGTCATTAATATTTTTGCGGACCCTCATACTAATTACAACGGTCAAACCATAGTGTGTTTTAATTTACTACTATATTATACAAAGCTAAAATGAAATAATTGTAGAATTTGTATTTATGTCTATGATAATAAAAGCCTTTTATTAAACTTTATCTAATTTAACTTTATTTAACCAATTTCTGTAAAGTTGCATATAGTAAATTATTTTTTTAAAAATAACGTCATAAAAAAGTTTCACTTCTTACGAGTGTACGCTAGTACACGCACACATTTATTTTATATGCACTGTCTATTTGCCACCGCCAGCTAGCTTTGAGACTCAACAAATATTTTTGGATAGCGTTGAAACAGCTTTAAATGAAACAAATAATGATTTCAATTTAAATTGTATTGATTAGCGTCCTGACAATGACTGCAGGTGCATGGTCCCATCGAATTATGATAGGAGTGTAGGTTATTCGCTTGTAGATTTTTGGACATTAAATAATCTGTATCAGATAAATGGAGTTCTGAATACTAACGATAAGATTTTAGACCTCGTAACTACAAACATGTACGGTGCGAGCGTCGAGCAATCTGCGAGCTCTTGCCCCATTTGTAAACTTGATTGTCATCACCCTAGCATTGTTTATTCTATATCACTTTGTAGTACAGCAGTAAATTGTTATTCCGTAAAGAAGCATGTCTAATGCTTTTGATAAAGTAAGCCATGCACTTCTCTTATCTAAGTTAAAGAAATATAGTATTGAGGATGTGCAACTGAAATGGTTTGCCTTTTATTTCTACGGTGGTAGAGCCACGCAGTAGCCTCGACTATTAGATATACTAACAACTACCACCATTACACACACATCCACTGCCTTGAAGAAAGCCAAAGATAGAGTGGTGTACAAGTAGATCGTTACCGATTCTCTTAAAGTATTTCAAGACGGATACAACCTTCAGTAATGAACACTAAGAAAAAGAAGGATTTCAAAATACGCCGTGATAAGTAAAAATAATAAATGGGTATACAATATTTTTGGATTTCTCATCCTGAGCAGAAACAAATAAATGTCCTGGTTTACATATTGGGTATATGATTTAGTTTAACTAGACATCACGGACGTCATCGCGTCGTGGGTTCGGCACGCACCATGTTGACGGCGGTGACGGTGAGGTTGTAGAGCGCGCAGGCCTCGAAGTCGAGCGGCGCGGCCAGCGAGAGCACGCCGGCGGCCGGGTTGAGGCGGAACAGGCCTTGCCCGCCGCTCAGCGAGTACCAGACGGCCGAGCCGCTGCGCGCCTCGAGCGCGGCCAGCACCGTGCCCGCCGGCTCGTTCTCGAACACCTCGCACTCGAGCCGCTCGCGGGCGAAGCGCGGCGGCGCGCCGTCCGCCTCCACCAGCACCACGTGCAGCGGCAGCGTGGCGGCGCGCTCGGCCGGCGGCGGGCCCTGCGCGCGCACCAGCAGCGTGTAGTCGCGCGGGCCCTGCGGCGGCAAGGCGCGCGCCAGCCGCACGTCGCCCAGCGCGTCCACGGCGAACAGGCCGCCGCCGTCCGCCGCCAGCGAGTAGCGGGCGCGGCGCGCGGCGCGTCGCGGTCGGAGGCGCGCAGCGGCGCCACCCGCGTGCCGGCCGCCGCGCCGCGCGCCAGCCGCGCCTCCACGAGGCGGCGCGGCCAGGCGGGCGCGTGCTCGTCGGCGCCGTGCACGCGCAGCGTGACGCGCGCGAACGCCCGCGACGCGCGCGGCGCCTGGTCGCGCGCCCACACCGTCAGCTCGTGCAGCGCCGCGCTCTCCCTGCGACGGGGCCCGTGTCACGCAAGAGTGTCCGAAGCGGTGCGGCGACGCAAAGGAGGAGCGACCCACCTGTCCAGTGGGCGCGCCAGCTCGAGCACGCCGGTGAGCTCGTGCAGGCGGAACAGCGAGGCGTCGGCGGGCGCGCGGGTCGCGTGCAGCCCGTACAGCAGCCGCTGCGGCTCGCCCCCCTCTCCCCCGCCGCCCCCCTTGCCCCTCACCGCCGCGCGCAGCACCAGCAGCGAGTCCCCCGCTCGCGCCGACTCACTGACGTCCACAGTGTACTCCTCGCGCTCGAATTCCACCCCGCCCTCGTTCGAATCGTTGATAACCGTTATGTTCACCTGTACCAGCAAGATATCATTTACCATCCTGTTCTTGACATCTAAAATAACAACCTATATGACGATATGCCCCGCTAACGGATATAGATCTCATCTTTACTAATAAGTCACCAGTACTACAATTTAAAGGCTGATTTGTTCGAGTATATTAAATTAGCCGTACACTTTTATTAAAAAAAATCATTCATTGATTCCTTGATGTGTGTGGAAGTTTACGTGGGACTTAAACGTAACCATAAAAGAATTGAATGCTATTGTCGGTGACGTGAATTCCTGTGCCAGTTCGCCCCCTTGAGCGTATAAATGAGCTCACCGCGGCGTAGGCCGTGCGCCGGCCGTCGCTGGCGGACACGTTGAGCCGGTAGTGCGGCGCGCGCTCCCACAGCAGCCGGCGCGCCACCACCAGGCTGCCGTCCTCGCGCCCCACCACGAAGTCGTGCTCGGGGTCGCCGTCTGCGGACGCGGCCTCTTTCGTTTGGACCACTCGACGAGTTGCACACGACAACGGACGTAGGAGAAAATTTAAAAGTGTCTTCGTTACGTTATCCATGATTCGTATAAGCACACCATGAAAACGCAACACTATGTGGATGTCTGTATTAGCAGTAAAACCTAGCATATATTCCGATTCAGTGGGGTTACTATTTGTATGACACTTAAACATTCAAGGTCTTGAGCGATTTGATAAACATTATCTAAAGTTGAACCGAACTATGAAATAATTAAAATAATTGTTCAAAGTAGTCGGAAATAGTGTAATATATATACGGGTGCTGACCAACGATGTCGTAGTAGAGCTGGTCGCCGTCGGGGTCGCTGGCCGCGAGCAGCGCCAGCAGGAAGCCGGGCGCGTCCAGCTCGGCGGCCTGCAGCGGCGCCGGCGCGGCCAGAGAGGGCGCGCGGCCGCCGCCCGCCGCCGCGCCGCGCACGCGCGCCCGCGCCAGCGCGCACCGCGCCCGCCGCCCGCCGTCGCACGCGCGCACCTGCGCCGCGTAGGGAGGCGGGACTCAGTGCTACGCCGTAGCTTCGGGGTGCGTAGGGGAGCGCCACTCACGGTCAGGTCGTAGGCGCGCCCGCGCAGCGGCAGAGAGCGCGACGCGTAGATGCGTCCGGAGCGCGCGTGCACGCGTAGCAGGCCCCTGGCGGCGCCCCGCCCCCGCGCCGCGTAGCGCACCGTGCCGTTGGCGCCCTCGTCGCTGTCCAGGGCCATCACCTGCGCACACGCCGACCGTTAAGAGCGAACCTCGACCGCGCTGCTCGCTACGAGCCTTATTTATTTAGGCTTAATTTATCCAAAAAGATTGCTACTCTTTTAAACAAAAAAATAAGTATCGCAACAATATTTTACAATAATATACGACATATTTGAATGTATACGAATCAGTGTTGCCAATTACTTATTACGAAGCGATTTCCTTGGTTTAATCGATTTTAACCAGTTAATAATAATCTATTTGTTACAATATAACATGTTATTATTTTGTCATGACACAGTTTTTAAATAACAGGGTAACGTAAACAGCTTTTTGTTTAAGGATTAATTGAGTTTTTACACAGTCGTAATATACCTAATAATTGGAGATTAGACACGTTAGATGCAGTGTTAATAATAAGAAAACAATATAAAAAATAATGAAATAGTTCAATTATAACCGATATCGATTTAATTGATTTTTGATTTTGAATCGATTTACTTATTGGTCCATTATTTGGCAACATCTATATCATTTTCAAATGTCAACTTACACAGGTTTTCTTCTCTTATAAATATTTTTAAACGATAAAAAAACGTAGTCATAATTAGGTGTCAAGAGTAAAATTCTGCAAAATTGCCTTCTTATCATAAACAATAAATAATAAAACTTGTTAACTCAACCATTACGGAAATACAATATTACTATTACTGTTTAACATCGTGAATTATTTAAAAGTTAATATTAGCGCGCCAATACAAAAACGATTCACAACTGCGTATTACAGAAACTGGGTGGTTTCTTGGTGGTCATAAAAAAAAATAACCACGAAGGTTAAGTGAACCCTCTAACCTAATTTATTCGTCTCAGATTGGTCTGTTGGAACTGTGACTCATTAAATAAAAAAAAAATCGAAAAATCGACACGAGTATTTATACACGAGAACGTTGTACGCAAAGTAATAAACAAAATATTCAGTGTAAAATTGCAATATAATTTTTTATTTCCTCAAAATTTGGAAGTTTCCGTAGATTTAGAAATTATATTGGTTATATAATTTATGTAATGGGTGTTTTTTTTTTTGTTTAGAAATATTAATAAGAGAAAAAAACATGTGCCGTTAATCTGCACCTTTACCGAAAATGAAAATGAATTTGTAATTCGATAAAAAGCGGGGTTATTTTGAAAAATAAAAATATTTTTTTCTTAAAGACCCATTTTTTAAGCCAATTTCCTAACCAGTACTTATTTATATTTCATATTGTCATCCCCATATACTTTTTAATGTGTGCACTTGTAGCCGAAGTGGGTATGACTGGTGGGTATCCCCCTTTACGCTTCAACAGAATGTGGACACCGATTTCAGTTTTTAGGACAACACATGTACTTAATAGAAAGTATTAAGAAATTTTATAGATAAAATGACTGCTCATCGCTATCGCTAGTCTAATATCTTACTGTAATAATAAAAAAGCAATTCCGAACACCATACCACAAACATTTTGCTCGCACTTTAATACTATGTTGTTTTATAAATTTGAAACGAGACGCGTTCATGAGTGCAAATAATCAGTAGCAGCGCACGTACCGTGGCGACGTAGATGCCGCTGGGCCGGGGCTCGTCCCACTCGTCCCAGCCGAGGCTCTCGTCCTCCTCCTCGGCCTCGCTGTCGGCCTCGCCCTCCGCCTCGCCCTCGCCCTCCGCACTGCTCTCCGCGCCCTCAGTCGTCACGTCGTCATCCTGCAACATCAGTTCGCAACATGATACACGACGCCGAAGCGAGTTGGGGCAAGGGGAGCGGTCTCGCACCGGCGGCGGCAGCGGCACGCGCAGGTCGTAGAAGCGCTGCGTGAAGGCGGGCGCGTGGTCGTTGAGGTCGAGCAGCGTGACGCGCACGCGCACGGCCGAGGCCAGCTCGCCGTCCGTGACGGACACCTCTAGCGCGTGCGCGGGCGCCGCCTCGCGGTCCAGCGCGCGGCCCGTGGTCACGATCTCGCCGCTCCGCTCGCCGATGGCGAACAGCCCGTCGGGGTTGCCGGCCACGAGCGCGTAGCGCAGCGCGGGCGGCCGCGGCGCCGCGTCGGCGTCGTGCGCGCGCACCACCGCCACGCGCGTGTTGGCCGCGCAGTGCTCCGCCACGGCCGCCGCGTACGCCGCGCGCTCCGGCCACGGCGCCATGTCGTTCACGTCCTCCACCTCCACGTACACCTGCGCACCACGCCCCCATCATAACATCCCCCATAATACTGCAGTCATTACTCGGACTGTTAAATGACCTCATCGTCGATCTGTAAAAGTATGACGAAGTATGTATTTAAATCTCTGTCAGTATATGATATACAGCGCGTCTTTACAATCGCGACAATAAATTAACACTCATATAGGGGATAACTTTTTAAGATTGTGTTAAACATTTACATTCTTTAAACATCAATATTTACAGAGTTATTAAATTTTCAAAAATAAAGAATTTTAGAACACCCTTCCGTATAAAACTGTAACGTAAAGTTCATTTGTAAAGGTCACAAAGCATATGAATGGGTTGAATGAATTTAAAAGAGACAAAACATACTTATAGAAGGAGAGGCTTGTAATGCGACGCTGTGGCGTGAGTAGTATAGGATGTTACAAATTTTGTTTCTTTTTTACTTAATTAGTTTGATTGAAAAATATTTTTTTAAAATTATGGATTTTGTTTACCTTTAATATTTTTTTTTGATTATTGGCAAGTAGGGTTAAACGTATGTTCATTTATTGTCGCGATGGTAACGACACGCTGTATACGATTACTAGATTACCGGACGAAACCCAAAGGTAATCATACTTTTAATTCACACTAGTTTTCTGTGACACTAATACTTCCCTTAATATGCCAGAATTTTGTCATCGCTAGAAATTGTTATATTAGCTGTTCTTGTTTGATCACAGATGTTTTGCATACACAATTTACAAACAAAAAACCTAGAAGAGTTCGAAAGAAAAATCTTAAAATGAACGAAAAGCTTTTACCACTGCGGGAATCGAACCCACGTTCCCTGTGCTGAACGGCTATTTGCTACACCGACGTGAATGTTTTACTATAATTGTGAGTTAAGCGCATTCAAAGAGCGTTTGGTGAGTCGTTGGTTGAGAGAGAGCCGACCTGGATGCAGGAGAACCGCGGCACTAGGGCGTGGTCCTCCGCGCACACCGTGAGCCAGTAGTGGGGCGTGGTCTCGCGGTCCAGCGGCGTCAGCGTGCGCACCGTCCCTGCGCACGATCGGACGAGATGAACGAGACGAACGAGATGCTAGGCGAGAGGGCCCTTCGGCAGTGAGACGCACCGGTGTCGTCGACGGAGAAGTGCGCCATGCCGGAGCCGTCGAGCGCGTAGTAGGCGAGGCGCGAGTCGCGGCCGGGCGGGTCTGCGTCGGACGCCCTTAGCACGCCCACGAGGCTGCCCACGGGCGCGTCCTCGGCCACGGCCAGCGCCAGCGCGCCGCGCTCGGCGAACACGGGCGCGTGCCGGTTCTCGTCCACGTCGCCCACCTCCACCACCAGCGAGGCCTCGGCCCACAGCGACGGCCGGCCCCCGTCCGTGGCGCGCACCGTCACGCCGTACACCTGCCACGTAACACGGGCTCTAGGTTCCGAAATCTTTATTCGCGGTCGTGTCCCGTCCGGCGCTAAACCCACCTGTTTCTGTTCGTAGTCGAGCGTCTTGGCCGTGCGAACGGTGCCCGAGGTGGCGTCGACGGTGAAGACGGCGTCGTGGGGCGCCTGGTCGGGCAGCGAGTAGGCCAGCCGGCCGCCGGCGCCCAGGTCGGGGTCGAAGGCCTCGACCACGGCCACGGGCGAGCCCACCGGCACGTCCTCGCGCACGCGCGCGCTGTACGCCGCCAGGGCGAAGCGCGGCGCGTTGTCGTTCACGTCGTCCACCTCGACGCGCACGAGCGCCTCGGCGCGCAGCCCGCCCCCGTCGGTGGCGCGCACCGTCAGCTCGTAGAGCGCGCGCCGCTCGCGGTCCAGGGCGGCGCACACCATCAGCACGCCCGTGTCGCGCTCCACGCAGAACTCGCCCTCCCCGGCGCCGCTCAGGCTGTATGTTACGCGAGCGAATTCGCCGGCGTCGCGATCGGTCGCGTTCGCCCGGAATATCGCGGTCCCGTTGATAGCGTTTTCGGTCACGCGGAAGCTGGCCAAGGTCTTTTCGAACTTTGGCGGATTATCGTTCACGTCCAGCACCGTGACGGGGAGCAATCGCGAACTGGAGCGCTGCGGTACTCCCAAGTCGTATACGGTTATGTTTAAGTAGTATTCGTCTTCCCTTTCGCGGTCCAAGTATCCGATTACTTTGAGCTCTCCTGTATCTGGGTCTATGCGGAAGGCGGAGTCGGCGTCCCCTCCGGAAATCGCGTACACGAGCAGGCCGTTGTAGCCGAGATCTCGGTCGCGAGCACGCAGCCGCACCAACGACGTCCCCAGCGCCACGGATTCGTTGACTTTGATCTCGACGGGGAAGTCGACAAATTCAGGTACATGTAGATTTTCACCGTATCTGGACGGCGCCAGGGGAAAGTCTTCGGCAAAGTCTATGGGCGCGTTGCTTCTTTCTGCCGCCGCTAACAGTTCTATGAGCCGTCGCGCCACACCCGTATCTCGACACTCCAGTGCGCTGGTGTCCCCGCCGCCGCCGCCGCCCACCAAGTGGAGAGTGAGCGTCGCGGGGTCCGCGAAGTGCGTACCGTCCGTCGCAGTTACGTTCAGTACTCTAGTCTCGGAGCGCACGTCGGCCAAGTCACAAGAGAGACTCAGAACTCCTGTGCCAGAATCGAGAGAGAAACAATTATCTTCGTTACCGCCTATCACACGGTACGACACAACATCGCCCGAGTCAAAGTCGATCGCCGAAAGCGTCACTATCTCGTACCCTATCGCCAGGCGTCGAGGCAAATAGCCAACGCAATCCACGCGTTCGAACTGTGGTCTGTTGTCGTTGACGTCTTCAAGACGAACGGTGAGTCGCATCTCGGCCTGACGCCGGTAAGGCAAACCCCAATCGCTTGCTCGTATTCTCAAAACGTATTCTCTTCTCATGCTTTCATAATCAAGTAGATGAGTCGTTCTCACGGCACCCGAAAAGTGGTCTACTTCGAACGGAATTGGTTGTAAATTGGCAACGCTATATGAAATGTAAGAGTTTTCTCCGGAATCTGCGTCTTTTGCCGAAACACGCGCGACCACGACACCCGTGGGCCCATTCTCCAAAAGCGTCACTTCCATGTCGTCCTTGTCAAAAACGGGATTATTGTCGTTTGCGTCAACGATAGCAATTTTCACTTTGGCCGAAGATTGTTTACGGGTCCCGGCATTGCCTTGATCGATTGCTGAAACTGTGAGTGTATAAAGAGACTTTTCTTCAGCGTCGAGCGGCACTGCAGTGTAGAGCACGCCTGTGTCAGGATTAACAATAAACTCACCGCCCTCATTGCCTCCGACAATCTCTATATACACGCGCGCATTTCGTCCTTCGTCGCGGTCGCTCACTTTGAGCCTGATGACTGGCGTGTTCGGTGGAGCAGTTTCTGGAACGTTCGCTTCGTATACTTCACGGCTAAAGACGGGGGCGTTATCGTTGGCGTCGATGAGCGTCACTGGCAGGGTGAGATAAGATGAGCGTTGCGGATGTCCCGCATCGGAAGCTCGCAAAGTGAGGTTATAGCCGCGAGGAGCTGTTTCGCGATCGAGGAGGGCGTGCACCACTATGTCGTACTCGCCAGCCTGCGTAGAAGGGCGCACGCGAAAGTGGCCGTCGGGGTCGCCGTCAACGATCTCAAGACTCGCGATGCGCCCGTGCTCGCCAGAATCTTGATCTGTAACTTCCACAATGGCGTAGATCTCGGCCGAGGAATTCTCAATGAGCTCAGGGAGGTGCCTCACACGGAGTTCGGGCGCGTGCAGGTTGACGCGCGCCACATGCACCACCAAGGTGGCTCGCGCGGCCGGTGCGTCTTCGCCGCGCCACAAGAGCGACGCTCGGTCGCGCGCCAGCACGGTGAGCTCGTGGCGGCCCTCGGCCGCCGAGAGGGCGTGCGTCACCGTCACCACGCCGCTGGTCGGGTGCACGGCGAAGCGGTCGGTGGGTTCGGCGAGGCTGTAGTAGATCTCCCCGTTGATGCCGATGTCGGCGTCCTCGGCGGTGACGCGCGCGATGCTCGCGTGCAGCGGCGCGTCCTCGGGCACGAGCGCCTCGTACTCCGTGGGGTAGAAGAGCGGGCTGAGGTCGTTCTCATCGGTGACCTCGACGGCCACCACGGTGTCCGCCTCGAGCTGGGAGCCGTCGGGCAGCTGCGCGGTGGCGCGCACTTCCAGCCGGTAGGCGTCGCGCCGCTCGCGGTTCAGCACGTCCGCGTGGCCGGCGCGCGTGCGCACGAGCAGGAAGCAGAGGTCGCCGACGAGCCGCTCCTCCGCCTTGAAGAACTTGTCGCGGTCACCGTGGCGGATGCGGAAGCGCACGTGCGCACCGGCCGCCGGCAGCCGCACGGCCGCCGCCTCGGCGCCGGGCGGCGGCTCGGCGTAGGTGCGCGGCGGCGAGTTCTCCGCCACGCTCACGTTGTAGAGCGCGCGGGCGAAGCGCAGCGCGGGCGGGCCCGGCCCCGCGGCGCACCACGCGGCCGCCGCCAGCAGCAGCGCCACGCAGCGCACGCGCCGCCCCCACCCCATGCCGCCGCCGCACACCACACTGTCACGCCCGCTTATCAGTATTATGCTTTTACATTGGTTTCCGCACTCAAGATGAAACTTATATGTGATTTTTTTTGTAAATCAACTGTCGAAAAAATTGTAGCGCTGCGGCGAATCCAGCAGCTGCGTTCTCCAGCAAAAAACTGAGCTAAGCGGCCAATATACTGACGTCGCGAAAATCTCGACATCTGTCTACTACCTTTATTGCATTTTAATCAAATCTGGGCGTGCCCGTCATATTAGAGTTTGGATGTCACAACACAAAAAAAATTCTAGATACAATTTATGTACAAAATATAATACACATTAAAGTATTTATTATACGTTTATCATCTTTATATCAAAGCATTTATTATCTATATTATAAAGAGGAAAGATTTGATTGTTTGTATGGATTGAATACGCTCCGAAACTACTGAACCGATTTGAAAAATTTTTTCAATGTTGGGAAACTACATTATCCCCGGTTGATATAGGCTATATTATATTTTCAAAAAAAATAGGGATCCTTACTAAAACTTCAATAATGTAACCCAAAGTGTACAAAAATTACTTAAAATATTCTTTACATCACATGCGCTGCGAAAACTATTGATGATAGAATAAAGTAATGTACTACGAATTTGTAGAACACATCATTATTTCCTAAAAGTGTCGCTAGAGCATATGTCTAACTATTATAGTTATGCCACAATAAGTGTTCTTTTATTTTAAAATTTTGGTTGAAATGCCGCCCCTAGAAAAGGCTCTTTATTTGTATCTTGGTATTAATCCTTATAAAAATAAATTACTTTATATTGAAGACTGTTTCAATATCTTTATACGACTTTTTGAATTAATAAATTCGGACATTCCATTCGGGAGATATCACAAGTTTAAAAATGTTAGTATATTGGAATTTAACTATCCAAACAGCTTAGTGACTGACTTAATAGTTCTTATAATTATTCAATCATATTTATACTGGTAATTCCTGTTCGATAGTTAGCAAATTATTAAATACAAAGACAGTTTAATTTTTTTATCATTTTAAAGATCTCATCTTTCTAGAAATAGTTCCCAGGCCAGGGCATCAAAAATACGTCGTAATGAGGAATCTTTAGCGGAAACTGAAAATAGTCTTACAAGTCGGAGAGAGTCAAGAGTGTTTGCAGCGGCTTTGAAGAGCATAATAATATAAATATACAAATTCACACTAGTGAGTCGAGTTCTGACCGTTCCCAACGCCTACGAGATAAGAGGGAAAGACAACAAACGTCAACGATTAGAGTTCGTAATCGACTTTTACCTCACAGTAACAGATCAGCTTTAATGCATTAAGCTCAACAGTCTTTTGTCCAAATCGGAGCCATGAATAAGATCTGCTCTAAGTGTTCTGCCAAAAATAGGTCGATGAACCAAATGGTATGTGCTATGCTTCTGGAAAAGTTAGTCTCCCCAATATTAAGGAGCCGCCACAGCCAATAAAAAATCTTTTGACAAATAATCATTCATCATCTGGACACTTTTAACCAACATTCGAAAGTGCAATAGCTTCTTTCAAATGATTTCGTTTAGCGTGAACTTTTAAAATAGAGGGACAAGTATACAAGTTATCATCATCCTCCAGTCCCTATCCCACCTAGGTGGGATCGGCACAACTATATTTTTACAACCAGCCGCTTGCCTGACGTCAAGCCTACTTGGGAAACAAATACCCAGATCAAATTTCAACTCTGTAACTATCACTGTTCATGAGATACAGCCTGTTGACAGAGGGACAAACAAACAGCGGAGTCTTAGTAATAGGGTTTTACCCTGTTACTAAGACGGTTTTACCCTTTGGGTACGGAACCCTAAAAAGGCCCTAGAGATATACTGTTGCACGGTAGACACGGCCAACTTAAAAGGGTCTCTGAGTTACACCGATTGTATGATCCACTAAAATATCTCTTAATAGTCGTAATAGGAGAAGACGGTTTATATTTGACTATTCCTCAGCAAGGTACTGTGTGTAACAAAACTGCATTTTATGCCTTTAGGTTCATGGCTAGAGCTACCTGTTTTAATCCATTACATTTATTACTGAGACTTATTAGGGTTCCGTACCCAAAGGGTAAAACGGGGTGCCGTTTTACCCTTTGGGTACGTTTTATTACTACGACTCCACTGTCCGTCTGTATGTCCGTATGTCTGTCCATATGTCACCAGGCTGTATCTCATGAACCGTGATAGTTAGACAGTTGAAATTTTCACAAACGATGTATTTCGTTGTCATTTGTTGCCGCTATAACAACAAATACTAAAAAACAAAAATTATAAATAAGAGGGGCTCCCATAAAACAGACATGATTTTTTTTGCCGGTTTTATAGATAATGTTAACAGTAGTAATGTTTTTGTCAATATTTAAGTGCAATACTTCTATATTGAATAAAGATATTAAAACATGCCTTTTTTTAATGTGATAGAGTGGCAAACGAGCTGGCGGTTCACCTGATATTAAGTAACAACCGCCTCCCATGGACATTTGCAACACCTGTAGGGTTGGAAATGAGTTGCCATCTTCAAATAAAGTGGGCCCCGGCTACCTCTCTCACCAGACCAAACGTAAAAGTATTTTACCCCGGTTTTCTGTGAGGTCGGTACGGAACCCTTCGTGTGCGAGTCCGACTCGCACTTGGCCGGTTTTTATTCAATACATTGTCGATTTGATGGCAAAAAGATATCAGAAAGATTGAATTACATATGATGTCGTAATCATCACCATCTCAGAGATTTAAATCAAGAGGCCCATCAAATATCGGTCAACGCTGGTGAAAACATTCATCTTAGAGACGCATTAAAAAACCAAAGATGCGATTATTTATGCCCGAAGCTATGGGAGACCAGACTTATTTGTCACTTTTACGTGTAACCCCGAATGTCCCGTAATTAAAGCGGAGCCAATATCTGGTCAGCGATCTTTCGATTTTCATGAGGTTATTTCAAGGGTATTTCATTAAAAGATTAAGAAATTCATAAAATTATTCACCACAGACGAAACATTCGGAAGGTTTTATTTGTGTGTATGATAATTTTTAATTTTTAAATTTTTTGTTAAAAGTATTGTTACCCGTGCGAAGCCGGGGCGGGCCGCTAGTTATGAATAAATTGGTAGTTGAAAGTAACAAGAATTTGCGTTCTATTCTATGGTCTCGAAATTAGATTGTACAAACATTGTCGTCTCCTTAATCTAAATGAATCAGTAATATTTATTGGGAGCGTTTCGACCGACAATAACCATGAAGGAACTTACGCGTGAAGTGAGCGGGGGAGTCAGTGCGCCTGCTTGCGACGCCTCATGTGCCAGCCGCGTCGCTTCTGCAACAAAGTCACGACATGGCCGATTGTAGCTCTTTTGATCATGTAAAAGGATGTTATTTTACCGATAAACGGCCGAGCACAAACTTCCTTTGTGATGATTATATTATGTATCTGTACTGCCCTGGTAGCTTCGCAACGACCTCACAATCTCGTCGTTTTTAGGTTGCAGTCTGCTACTTGCCGGCAATCTACTCACGAGAAAAAAAACCAATACCATTTCCTAATGTTGTAATTTGATTCAATTGAAAAGAAAGATGGCGTACCGAGCCACCAAGCCACCAAGCCTCCTACGGCGGGAAGCAGCGAGCGCCACAGAGCACAGGCGTGGCCCTAGGCGTAGAGCACTGACGTCACGCAACAACTTTTTTCATTAAAACTACTGCCATGCCAATCTTAGCCAAAATGTAATTCAAACCCGTCAAGTTAATAATCCTTTGTGGATTGCACACAAGCGAACTTAACGAGGAAGCGAACTTGACATTTGTGATATAATTAATATAATATAATTGCATTACTGATACAACTCCGAACATATTCGCTATTCCCGTTAATTACTGAGTGGCCAACCGCACTTCTCTCGGAGCCTACGGATCGCAAGAATTTAGTATTCCCGTGGTATAAGGAACTCACTAAGGATCATACATCTTGCGTGCTCTTTCATTGTAAAGTCCCACAAGGATCAATCTTGGGCCCATTATTATTTTTAGTATATATTAATGATCTCCCCTTTTATGCCAGTGGGTTGTGTGATGTTGTACTGTTTGCTTACGATACATCGCTTATTTTTAAAGTTGACCGAAACGTATTAAATTATGACGACGTGAATAGTGCCCTTTCACATATCCTCCACTGGTTTACTATTAATAATATGGTATTAAATGCCAAAAAAAAACCAGATGTATTCTTTTTACCCTTCCCAGTATAAGAAGGAAAAGTTTTAGTTTAATATTAAATAACGTACCCATTAATCCAGTTGAGTCTGCTATATTTCTGGGAATTACAGTAGATTCAAAGCTCCAGTGGAGTCCCCATATATCATCTCTTGCGAATAGGCTGAGCTCCGCGGTTTTTGCGATTAGAAGGGTTAGGCAGCTAACAGACATCGACACTGCCAGACTTGTTTACTTTAGTTATTTTCACAGCATCTTGTCTTACGGCATTTTGTTGTGGGGTAGTGCATCAGATATAAATTCTATATTTATTCTTCAAAAAAGAGCTGTCCGAGCAATCTACAATATCGGAGCCCGGAATTCACTCAGAGATCTTTTCAAAGAGGTTAATATACTCACTGTTGCTTGTCAATACATTTATTGTAATATTTTGTATATACGTCATAACCTTAATTATAACCTAAAGAATAGTGACAGACATAAAATAAACACTAGAAATAAGGACAAACTTACTACGCCATTGTTTCGTCTACAAAAAGTAAATAAGTCGTTCATGGGGCAAAGTGTGCGCATGTATAATAAAATCCCACAGTCGATATTAAGTCTGCCGCTTGACCAGTTTAAATGTAAAATTAAAAATCAACTATTGATTAAAGCATATTATACCATTTCGGAATATCTCGACGACGCCAATGTGTGGAGTTAACACTGTTGATACTCACGTAGGCTAGAATAAGACTATTATA